GCCAATTTTCCAAAAGACAATTGGGTTTTACTTTTAAGGAAGCCTTAATTTATGTAAGAAACATTTGAGTACCACCATTTCACAATTTTGTTATCAACTAATGTCAATGATGCAAGTCGTTTGAGATAGGCATTACTTAGCCATTTGGTCGGATCTTAACTATTAAGAGTCCTGACTTCAAGACTAACCTTCATTGTGATTCACCGGATCATCATTCGCCAATCAGTTCCATACTCGGTATCACATTGAACCGATGCTTGATCTCGCTGAAAACCCCGTAAAAACCTCAACAATTTTTCCACGATTTTTCTTTACAAAAAAGATAATCTTTTATAATGGATAACAAGAGTAGAGATATTACATGAATATGTACTACCATCAATTCATCACCATGTGTTGGAAATGGAAACTCTCAACTTCTTCTTCATCCTAAAGTTTCTCTCTTCCTCCTCAAAACACTTAATAACTACAACATTTCTTTAATGAAATCAAGGCTAAGTGTGTCCTTAACGATGAGAAACAATCCAAGGAATATGACAAGCATGATCCCTGAAGACATTATCCCTTGTTCCACTTCTACGGGAAGCTTCCTCCCTCCTCTAACCGCTTCCAACAATATCAATGCCAATGTTCCACCGTCAAGTGCGGGTAACGGCAAGAGATTGATCACCGCAAGGTTGATATTCAGCAATGCTGCGAATTGGTAAAGCCCATCGATGTTTGATCTCGCTACTTCTGCTCCAACTGCAATGATTGCCACAGGACCTGATACTTTACTCGCTGTCTGAGAGAAGTTGAAGAACGTTTGTTTTAGACCGTCCAAAACATTAAACGATAGCCCCATAAACTCCTTCCCCGCGAAAATAAACGTTTCGGGAATGTTCCTTGGTCTCACCTTAGTGATTCTCACGTTCGGTGATAGCTGAACTCCAATCTTCCCCGTCCCATCAAAGTTCTTATCCGGTGTGACCCGAATATCGAAATCTTTATCCCCTCTTTCGACTCTAAACAAAACATCACTCTTCGGGTTTCTTTTAACAACGTCAACAATCTTGGAGACAGCATCAGGCCCGGTTTTCGACAGTTCAGTACCGTCCACAGCGAGGATTACATCACCCGAAAGCAATCCGTCACGGGAAGCAGCAGAAAAGGTCTTAACTTCAGGAACAAGAACACCAGGAAATGCTTCTTGAACAGGCAAACCAACGGATAACACTTGAACAAAGATGATCGCATAAGCAAAGATCACATTAGCGATAATTCCAGCTGAAACTACAATCGATCTATCTAAAGTCGGTCTGTTCTTAAGCAGATTCTCATCGTCAAGTGGAATCTCACTGTCGGGATCATTATCAGGGAAACCAACGAAACCACCTAAAGGAAAAGCCCTAAGAGAATACTCGACATTGTTGAAATCGAATTTCGCTAGAATCGGACCAAACCCAATCGCGAATTTACTCACATGAATCCCTTGGAGATAAGCAGCGAGGAAATGACCGGATTCGTGGACGACGATGATCGCTGTAAGAACAGCAGTAGCTTCCAAAACGGATTCGAAGCTTCCTAAATCAAGCCCAGGGAGAGCTCTTGATCTAAAATCGAACCTTTCTCCATATCTCCTGTTTTTGAAGCTCTGTTTCGAGAAAGCAGGGAGATTTGGGAAAAGGTGAGATTTTGAGAGATGGGTTTTGGATCGGCGAGGGAGAAAGGAGGTTGGGTTGGTGAAATTGGAGAAAAAGCGAGGGTTTCGATGAGAGATTGGAGAAGAAGAGATGTTTAATAGCATGGTTTCGTGAGAAGTGGAGGTTTTTGAGGTGTACGGTGAAGTGGTACGATTGGAGCCATTGGTTTGATAAAAACAGAGAGGAAGATAAGAAAGGAGTAAAC